GCACCCCGTGGGGAGCCGGGCCGGCAGGGCTGGACGGGCCTTTCTCCTGCGGCGCGAGGACGTTCTGCCTCCAGGTCCATGTCGGAACGTCCACTTGTCCGGGGACGTCCACCCCGTGCCCGGGCTCCCGCCCTCTCCCCGCCGATCCGCGCCGAAAGCCCTGCGCCGAGCGGCGATTCGGCTTGTGCAGCGGCTTTGTCGCTCCCCGTCCGCTTCTGCAATCTCGACGCGTCCCCGCACCCCAGTTGTATGTAAATGGGGAGAGCAATGGTGCAGGTCGCACAGGTTTACTTGGGGAATAAATGAGAGAATGCAGGAAAGACAGGTCGCCTCCTGGCTCAGAAAATGTTACCTGGTAGCAGCAGCAGCAACTCAGGCCTGCAGTGTTTTGTTTTCGTTTTGTTTTGAGTTTAAAGTGAAAAAAAGTTAATTAGTGAAGCGGTGAGATAGATTATGGCTACTCCACAGGCAGGGCAGCTGGAGTGTTGTTTTGTAGTAAATGTCGAAAGAGATGTGAAAAAATTTCCCCCAAATACATTGATATTTTGTATTCTTGGTTATATTTGCTTTTGAAAGACACGATCTCCTTAGATAGTTAGAGCTAAGAGGTATGGGACCCTACAGAGTGCAGAATGCTCTCGGATCCCCTGCTGGCAGGTAGCAGGCAGCTAGACCGGGAGGGAGGAAGGGAGGGACTGTTGGACTTGTCTTCTGCCTTTTCTTGAGGAGGTACCTGAGAAGAGGGTGTAGGACTTATTTGCCTTTTCTCCATGATCTTATCCTATAGCGGGTGCTCAGTGGATGTGCTGCATGAACTGTGAGGGGAGTAACGGAGAAGGCGAGCCGGATTCATTTGTCCCTATATCCCCTACACGTCCCTGCTTTTGACCTCCCTCCCAGCACGTGCCTTGTTTTCTACAGTGGATGCTTTCTTGAAAAATTATATAAATTGGGACATGTATGGAACATGCTTGTGTAATTAGTATTTACAGGGATATAAATGCTTTTGTAAATAGGAATGATCTCCCCCCCGAACTGAGTGTTTGGATGATGAAGTTGTCTTAAAGGGGCACACGTTCATTCTGTTCCCTCACAGTCCTGCTTTTCTGTCGAGGTCTTGTGGCCTTGTGCTTCTATCACAGACTTTGGAGCTACAGCTAATATTATCGGAGAGGTGATCAGCATTAACCACATGTGGCTGTTTAAAATAAAGTTAAATAAAATTAAAGAATCAGTTTCCCAGTTGAACTTTTTTTAAAAAAATATTTTTAAGAATTGATTTTAGAGAGAGAGGATGGGCGGGGGAGAGAGAAACATCAAAGGGCTGCCTCCTGCATGACTCCTACTGGGGATGGAGCGTGAAACCCCAGCATGTGCCTTGAGTGGGTATGGAACCCAGTGACCTTTGGGTGCATGGGATGACGCCCAACCAACTGAGCCACACCTGCCAGGGCCCCAGTTGAATTTTTAAGTATCAGTAGCGAGTAGCTGCTGTATAGAACATCACAGGTGTAGAACACACAAAGGTCGATTGGACAGAGCAGTGTAGAAGTTGTCATTCTGACTTGGAAGTTTAACATTTTAGATAAGCTATCAGTAATTGAGAGTCGAAAACTCCTTTAACTCCAAAATACCCTGACACAATACTTTATATTCTGTAGTGATTTAAGTTGCAAAGAGCTTTCCATATATTATTTCACTTGACTCTTAAGGAAATCTTGGGAGGTTAGATAAAGGAAAATAAAAATTCTATAGCAAGTTGCTGGCAAAGCCAGGACTAAAATTCATACAGTTTTTGTTTGTTTTTTTGAGCACCATAGTAGTTGGTAATTCTTTAGCCCATGGGGTCGTTTGGAGGAGTTGAGGTGGCTAAGGAAGTAGGGAGCCCTAGATGGGTGCCCCTTTTCTTGGACCAATGGTCCCAGGCCACTCTCTGTGGTGAAAGAGTGGGCATCAGCAGCTTAACTCTCCTCCCTGAACGCCAGCACAGCAGCCCCTGACAACTGTCTGGTTGAGCAGAATAAATGGCAGCAAGTAAAGGGTAACAAGTGAAGATCATAGTTTTTTGTGTGTGTTGTTGGCTGATTAATTGATGAAAGAAAATTTGGAAAGATCATAATTATTTCCCAGTGTATGAAATCTTCCTTTTTGGGAACAGCTAAAAGCTTCTTGCTAGTTCTTAGAATTGAGGGAGAAATCCACAAAACCCACCAACACCAACTCTTAATAGTGAATGAATAGGGTTACTTGGGTATAAAGTCCGTGCGTAATGCTTCAAGGAAAAAGAGTTTCCATAAACTTTCTCTCCTTGATTCTCTCAGCAGCTTGGGGAAGTCACTGTGGCTTCTGATGGTCCTCTAATTAGTATGTGTCAGAACCAGGGCTGGAATCTACATCTGATTCTTACATTCCATACTTTTCAACTCTAGAATTACCTTTCTGCTCCCTCTCCTGTCCTCTGGTAAACCTATTCATACTCTTACTCTGCAGTTTTTGTGTGAGGCTGTACAGACATAGCAGCAGTTCAGGCTTCTTAGCAACACGAGGACTGAGACTTCAAAAGTTATTAATCAGTATTTGTTGAGCTCTACTCTGTGTTACGTATTTTGCATATGTTGTTCACCCGCTTTTACAGGGGAGTCTGATGTAGAAGAGAGTTCGAATTCCTTTGCTGTAACTCAGCTCTAGAGTGTTCTAGAAGGAGAGCAGCCCTAAAACCTTTGGCCTGCGGTAGTGAGTACAAATGATGGAATTCTGTCTGTCACACTTTTATGAGGCATTTGTGGATGTCAGATCTCTAGACTGCTCTGCTGGGCTCAGATTCATCTGGCTTCTGTACATTCTCATCTACTTTTTTCTATTATTAAATTGAACAGGTCTAAACTCAAACTCATTTCCGTCTTCCCCAAAGCTCCATCTCCCCATCTGTTAACCCTACCTTAAACTGTACCCCCTAACTGCCCGAGCTGGGACCTTCAACATTATTTCTTCCCTCTCTCTCTCAGTCCATCTTATATTGATGGCTACCAGAACCTTTTCATTCTACCTCCTGAATATCTAAGACAATGTCTCCTATATCCTTGCTTAGTTTGAGCTCTTTTAATAACTTACAAAGTGGTCTCCCTGCCTCCAGAGTATCTTCATTCTCTGCCATTGTACTTGGAAAAATCAAGAATAATATTCAGAATACTTTAAAGCATTTTTTTTTTGCTATGAAAAAAAAAAGTTGGAGTACACAAGCCCTTTTGAGAAACTTTCACATATCCTAATATATAGAGAGAGCTAGGTGCCTTCATGACCGAACGGTGACTGGTCACCCTGAAGTGATGGAGCACCTCTCGGCCCCCCCTTCACCCCCCTGCCCCCGGGCCCAGAGCCACTTACTATGAGGAGGGGCTGGTGGCAGGGTGGGACTTGGGACTGTTGAGTGGTGGTGGCGAGTGGCAGCAAGTTTCGCGGAGCAGTCAAGGGGGTGGGGGGAGGGGGGAGTTTAGCGGAGTAGTAGTGGGGTCGGGGGAGGGGAGCTTCTCAGAGCATACACCAGTGAGCTTCTTGGAGCAGTTGAGGGGCAGGGGAGCCTCGCGGAACAGTTGCAGGGTTCACGGAGCATCCTGGGGCAGGGAGCTTCATGTAGCGTCGCAGGGCGGAAGAGGCCATGCGACAGAGGCCAGGTTAGGCCTAGGGACCCTAACTGCGCATGATTTCGTGTGCGCTGGGCCTCTAGTCTATATATATATAAAAGCCTAAGCAACTGGCTAACTGGTCGGTAGCTATGATGTGCACTGACCACCAGGGGGCAGATGCTTAACACAGGAGCGGAAACCACAGGCATGGAAACATGGAACAGACTGATGAATCTCAGAGGGAAGGAGGGAGAGGGGAGGGCGGGAAGACATTCACTAAAGATCTCATATGCACACTAGAGGCCCGGTGCACAGATTCGTGCACCGGTGGGGTCCCTTGGCCTGGCCTTTGGGGATTGGGCCGAAACTGGTTCCCCTACATCCCCCGAGGGGTCCCAGATTGCGAGGGCACAGGGCAGGCCTCTAGTATTTTATAAAATTTTTAATTAATGGAATCCTCATTTTTCAGTGTTGGAATATTAGGGAGGCCATTATCTGATAGGGACTTCATTTGCCTCATTTGTGAGGATTTGATAAATTGGGAGATATTTATAACTCTGGAATTATTTAATTCTAGGTTTTACTTATATTCAAGTTTTCTTTAATATGGACTATTACCATCTGCTGGCAGTAGTGAAAATTGCAATTAATTATTTTAAGCTTAAGTACATCTTTTCAATTGTGAGGTAAAAATTATAATGACCAATAAGGATCTAGTTACTTATATAATTTCTTTTCCCAAATTTTGTTTTGATGTTTGTGAGAAGGGAAAAATTTTTAAGTTAGCTGGCTGATAGATAATATAATGTCCTATAATAAAGCACTTAAGGGGGTATATTTATCTTCCCACAGATTCAAACAAACAAACAATATTTTCTAGTCCCTTTGGGTTTTGAGCACACAGTGTAGACCAGAGTAAGATGTCCAAATACTCAGGAAACTATCAGACTGCTGCCTTTAAGCACAGTACCTGCCAGACACATGCCTAATTGCCTATTGACGGCAGGGTGCTTTGCTTTCCCAAAGCTCACCACAACATGGTCTGGTCTTTAGGGGCACGTTCACAGAGATTGTTTTTCAGAGAGCTGTGTGAGAGCAAAACAGACTTTCATGATAACGATTGCTAGACGTTTTGACATGACTGTGACTCATAACCATGAGCACTCAGGAGACACAATGCATAGGGAAGTACATGGCCTAGTTTTCATTTCCTTTCAGGCAGTAGAGCTTTCCTGGTAGCTGGGCAGATAGACATGCCTTTTTGGTATTTATGGTATTTTCTTCCCAAGTGAACTTTGGAAAGAAAAGAAAATTCTGTAAAAGAGCACATTGGCTTGCATGTGCATACACACACACACACACACACACACACACACACGCCACTGTTTCTTTGACCTTACAAGTTTTTCTTAATTTGACCTTAACAGTTCTTAAAACAATTATTTTAAAGTATTTTTTGAAAAATAATTAAAAACAGTTATTTTAAAGTATTTTCTGAAAATAATTAATAAAGAACTGCTTCCTTTTTCAGCTCAGAAGATAAAATAACAGTCCACTTTTTAAACCGTGACGGTGAAATACTAACAACCAAAGGAAAAATCGGTGACTCTCTGCTAGATGTTGTGATTGAGAATAATCTAGATATTGATGGTTTTGGTGAGTATGGAAGAGTCCTTAAAATTTATAAGTGAAACTATTGAATAGGTTTCAATACTGTTCTTTTGAAAAATTTTAACTTATACCATACAGAGTAAAATATTAAAATTCAGGATGTATTACTATTCTTTTTGCATTTGATTAGCTTTGTACCTCAAAGTCTGTCACCTCATTACCTTATTGTTTACGTGTGTTATGCAATCCAGGTAATAGGTAGTGGAGTTGAAAAATAACAGGTTAGAGATAATAAATGTCATATTACAAGAGGTAATTAAATAGTTTTAACTTATTCTGGAAAGTTAGCTTACCTTTCCAGGAAGGGAAATTTATCTACCTCTTATCAGGGGACAAAGTGTTTTTATGGAGAAAGGGTTTTTATTTCTAGAGTCTAGACTTCTGACCTAGTCCTTAGGCGCTCAAACAAGCCACACCCCAGATGCTGCCAGGGAAAGCTATTAGCACTCATCAGTTCTACTCAAGCACTCTAGTGATGGTTCTTGAAGAGGGTTCCCTTGATTATTAGCATCAGGTCACTTGGGAAATGCAGATTCTCAGGCCCCTCTCCAGGTCTTCTGAGTCAGAAAGTCTGGGGGAGGGTCCTGTGTGTTTTCACAAGCCCTCCATGTCACTTTGATGCATGTTAAAGTTTATGAACCATTGGCCTGAAATAAGGTCCAATGAGCATATCTGACTATGCGTCTGTCAGGGCACAGTTCACATCGCACTTTTGAGAACCATTTCTGCATCAGAGTTATTTCTCTTTTCTCCATTTCCCCATGATCCATGAAATCCACCTCCCCATGAATGCTCACCACGGCTCCCTTGTTAGAGAGAATGTCCCTGTCCCTGACTGGGTTGTGAGCTCTTGGAAGACTGTCCTCACTCAGGTGACTTCACAGAGAGTACTTTCCAGAGGTGGCACTGAGTATTTATGCTGCATTTTTAAATCTGATATTTGATTAGTCAGTTTCAGGATTAATTAGAACAACTACCAGTTGAGCGCATACTATATGTTATCTGTGATTGTAACAACTCTAAGGGGTAGATTTTTAAAAAAAAACTTTTACTTTATAGATGAAGAAACTAAGGTTCATAGAAGTTAACATTCCCTGGGTCGTACAAGTGAGAGGGCTAAGATTCAAACCGAAGTCTCTAATTCTTTATGCCTTTTTCTCTAAGAAGCATCTTTTCTGCATGAACTATTTTAGAAATTAGGTGATGTAATAGTTGATATAGCACCAATTTTAAGGAGTTTTTAGTCTAATGAAGTGGTTCTTGTCTGGGATGGAGTTAGAATCTATCGAACCTGGGACCCTTCAGTCTGCAGGGCGATGCTCTGTCCACTGAGCCAAACCAGCTAGAGTGCATGTTTCCTATTTAAAGTGTGTCCTGTTCTCTCATCCCCACAGTCACTACTTGGGGCTGGCCAGTCACTGTATACCTGTAACTGCTGATCTGCTTCTGCTCTGAGCCCCGCAATTGGGGTAATCTATCATAATACACAGCAGACATGTCCCCTGATTAAAAACGATAAATAAGTTCCCATCTCACTTAGGAAAAAGTGCACACTCCTTAACTATTTTAGAAATTAGGTGATGTAATAGTTGACATAGTACCAATTTTAAGTAGTTTTTAGTCTAATGAAGTGTTTCTTGTCTGGGATGGAGTTAGAATCTAC